ATATATATATATATATATATATATATATTGATCTCAAACTCAGTAAGAATTTTAATTCTCAACTGCAAAGTAAACTAAATTTAAATAACTCGTAATATTTTGACCTAATTCAATTTGATTTCAGTTTTAAATGTTTCAATCTAGAAAACTGACTAAACAAATTCGTGCATATCTATAAGACACAAACCGTGTATATATGTTGACGCTCCTGAAAAAAGGAATTAGTCCAGGGAAAGAAAAAGGAATTAGTGTAAGTCGTTTAAACTTAGTCAAAACTTTCGTTTTCCTTTAATTAATATATCTACCCCAAAGATAAAAAATTTAAAGTTGGATTAAATTAGAATTTACTTATTTGCTTTGAGGGGTTCTAAATTAGAGTCACGAGACTTTCAAACCTCGATTGAAAAGCATCAATATATAGGGTATTGACAAGGAGTCAAAGACACAAGAATTAATAAACAAAACAATCCTGCTTTACTTTACTGCTCCTCAAGAAAATATGTTGGTTGGATTCTGTTTAAAATCTGTATTCGAAAATAATTCTGCAAGGTAAATAAAAGTAGAAATAAAAGTTGAAGAATTAAAAATTCCAATCCCAATAGAAAGCTGGTATTTTCTTAAGAAAGTTTAATCCCCTTATGCTTGTCCAAGGTTTTAGATTAAAACAGAATACTATTTTGTAATACTGACAATAAAAATTACAGAATTTCGACAAATTCAACAAACGATAGAAAATCACACTGATACTTAGGTTTTGTGCTTTAAAATATGCAATATGTAGAAGAGAGAGGAGAGTGTTTTTCAGAATTCCGGTGAGTAAAAATAAGGCAAGCCTCTAAATTTATAGCCAACTAGTAGGAGGCTCAAATCCAAAGCCGAGGCTCTCGTCGCTCGGCTCGTTCTCTTCTCAAACTCTTTAAGAGTTAGAACTTAGAAGTTATGCTTCTCTGTGAAAGAATAATTTTTTTTTTCATTTTCCAATAAGGGAAAAAGCTCCTCAGTTAAAAGGAGTTTTGTCAAACTTTTGGTTTCCCCTTCAATTGTTTTCTCTATTTCTCATTCACACCTTCATTCAAACCCCAACAGAATCTTAAAAAATGCAGCTGTACTCCTACTAGTATTAGATCCTTCGCAAATACATTATTTTTGAAGAATCCGATATATACCATAACGTATTTTTAAAAACTCTAAACAATATAAGAGAGAAGTAAAAACTACAATAACAAAGAAAATTCAAGAAATAGTGACATATCAAGAATTTAGACTCCATATGTTCCGAGTTGGTAAAATTTGTTCTAAAATGTACATCTAATTCTATTTATGTTAGTTTTTCCTACATATATACAAGGAAAATATACTCTTTTCGTATTTTTGGTCCTTGTGATAGATATCTCATTAAACATATTTAAAATTAATTTGATTATTTGAAATGTGTACTTTAAATTTAATGAATTATTATTGTTATAAAACCTTTTAATTAATAAGGTGTAAAGTTACATTTACACTGTTATTTTATATGTGAGGGTAATATAGTCATAAAAATATAAATATAACATATATCCTATGTAAATGGACCAAAACACATATTTTATTTAATTCAAGAATAAATAAGCTCAGTGAAATATTACAAGAACAAAAATAAAGACCAATGACTAATCTTTATATATAAACATCAAATCACTGGATTTGATAACCAACAAACTTATTTATTGAATCCGCCACAGAAGAAATCCTCGTCAAAGTTGTACAGAGACGTGTTCTATAGTCAATATATTATTCAAAAATAGATTTATATAAACCCTTTCAATTATCTTCCCCAATCATTTATTCTTTGAGTGAAACCATTCCTAAAGCTTCTTGCTACCTTTTGCATCTTCATCCTTCAAACTACTAAGGCGTAGTTCTGAACTGAAGCATAGTTATTGTTGTTCCTTCAAACTATTGAGGCGTAGTTCGGAACTGAAACATAAGTAGTTGTTCCTTCAAACTACTGAGGCGTAGTTCGGAACTGAAGCGTAGTTATTATTGTTAGCTTCAATTATGGCTAAGATTTGTCCGGAATTAATGTTACAACAATCTTCTTCTTCGTCGTCTCCTTATGTGACATCAATAAGAGAAACATTTACAATATGGATGAAATCTTTAGTTTTCCACGGAAATGGTTGTACTGTCTTTAATTCTAAAGGTGATATTGTTTTTAGAGTTGATAACTACCAAGAAAGTTGTAGAGATGAAGTTTGTCTCATGGATCTCAAAGGCCAAGTTCTTTTCTCCATTAAAAGAGAGGTAAAAGATGACATAAATTCACTATCTTTTGAATGTTTTATATGTAGATTTAAACAAATTGAAACAGGATTTAAGCTATATGCACGGATACTATAAACCTTTTTTACACTATTAGTATAGTTTCACATGTTTTGGAAAATGTTTTTTCCTTAGTCGAGGGCATATCGGGAACAACCTCTGCCCCACAAAGTTAGGGGTAAGTTCTGCGTATACCCCACCCTCTCTAGATCCCACTTGTGGTATCACACTGAGTATTTTACTGTTGTAGTGTAGTTCAACTTATGATAATACATTTACCATCTTTATTTGGTTACTAACTAATGCTTACAACAAATCTGATTGTATAAATATTTTTTACACCATTAGAAATATTCTTGAGAACTTAAGCCCATTTAAACTAAATGTATATAATTTTTTATAATTTTTAAATAAAATTATTCTTTTTTTTCCTTCAGAAACTACGAGTTCTTGGTCGTTGGAATGGCTATGGTTGTGGTGGAATAAAAGGGAGGCCATTGTTTCAAGTAAGGAGGAATGGCATATTTTCAAGAGAAGATGTCATATGTAATGTTGGGTGTAACGAAAATGAAGGAAATAGTTGCTACAAAATTCAACAATTGGATAGAAATTCATCTTTTAAAGTCACAAATACTGCTGGTCAAGTTGTTGCAGAGGTTAGTACATATATAATTCTTTGAATTTTCGTATTCATAGAAATTATATGAATATAACTTATAATATACATTGATAGTGTAAATTTTTTTGTATGTTCTAATTTTTTTGGTTTTATTTGTAGGTAAAACAAAAGAAATCATCAAAAGGAATTGGCTATGGTGATGATGTGTTAAGTCTAGAAGTGGAACCCAATATAGATCACTCTTTAATTGTGGCTCTTGTGACAATATGTGGCTTAATTCATGGCAAATTATGACCAACACCAACAATTTCATATAAAATTTCTTGATTTGTGCGTGCCATTCTCGCAGAGAACCATGCTAATTCTTTTTTGTATCGAGCCAATTTTATCGGATGTCCCCAAGGAACTGGTAAATTCCTATAGAATTTCAAGATTCATCAACTTCTAAATCCATTTGAACTATCATTCTAATTTAAGAATGTGTTGTGTGTTTGATCTCTTTGTAAATATTCAAGATTGTAACGTCAAACATACAACTATACAAGTGAATTCTCCTTAACAAGTTCGTTTAGGGCTTAAAATTTTGTAAAGGGAAATCCAAATGTACAATAGAGACTATTCTTTAATTTGTTTGTTTTTAAATACTTCTTTATTTATATAAGGTAACTTAGTATATTCTTTCATTCCATTGTTGATAATATAAAAAGCCTTTGTCTTTTTGGAGGTGTTTACTATATATTATTTGGGGGAAAAATTGAAAAATATCCCGATTTACAAGTGTTAATTGAAAAATAATCACACTTTCAAAAGTAATCGAAATTTAGCCACTTTTCATGTAAAGATAAATCTGAACGAAAACATTATTCAAAATCCGAAAAAATATTCTAGCATAATATACTGGTGTTTGAATTTTTTACATGTGAACTTCCAGCATAATATACTGGAGTTCCAGCATAATATATTGGTCCAGCATATCATAATATGCTGGAAGTTCATACACAAGTATTCTAATCTCCAATATATTATGCTGAAACTTTTTGTGTTGCAGCAATATAGTGGCTATTTTTCACCGACTTTGCAAAGGCTGACTATTTTTCAATTATTAATCCGAAAACTGATTAGCCCGTACTATTTTCACTATTTTTTGCGACAATGATTCCACAATTGCCTAATTTACATTATTAGCTAGGCAGAATTCAATTTGAACTCCATTTATTTGTTTACTTTTAAATGATTGTATACTCCAAAAAGGCACAAAATTTCTTCGATAACCTTTGGAAAACACTTTCCAACTCATCCTCTTAAATCAAACAAGTCAAACACCTGAAAAAAAGAACAAAAAGCAACTACAATTGATAGCTGACACTATGCAGATCCTGAAAAAAGGGAAAACAATAAGCTAATAATTGATAGCTGACACTATATATACAAAATATCACCCCACCAAAAAAAAAATCAAACTCTTTTTCTAAAAAGTTTGCACTATTCTTGAGCCGAGAGTCTATCAGAAATAAACTCTCTACCCTTTCGGGACAGGAGTAAGGTCTGTGTACACACTCTATACCCTCCCCCGACCCTACTTGTAGAATTTTACTGAGTTGTTGTTGTTGTAGTAGCTTGCACTATCGACAAGGAGAGTTGCTCCGATGGTCAGCACTATTCACCTACAACCTTAGGTTGTGGGCTCGAGTCACCAAAGGGCAAAAGGGGATCAAGAGGGGAATCAAAGGCGAGGAGAAAAAAGAGTTTGCACTATCAAAGATGGATGGAGTTTATTGACTATGAGTTTAGCTTAATTAAGTATATTCAACACGAATCATAGTTATACATAAAAAAAGTTATTAAAATTTTAAAAAAATATTAAATAGTAAATCCAAATATTTTTTAAATATAATGAGTTTAGTCCATCAAAATTAAATTTCGGATACGTTTCTAGCTGGGGCGGAACTAGCACGAAAAGTTGGAGTCGACAGAACGAATAACTTTATTCCAAAGCCTATATATTTGTTGAAAATTTCACTAAATACTATATATTCAGAATCTGTAAACTTCAAATTTAGAACTTATAAACGTCAGATCTTAAATCTGCCTCTAATCTATATTTGTTTGTGTAGAAATAAAACAAAGACCGCTCTTTTTGGTAGGATGCTAACATTGAGTTGTGAGTATAGTCTTGATAAGGTTGAAAAACAGCCAGCAGATTTAAATGATTGTATACTCCAAAAAGGCACAAAATTTCTTCGATAACCTTTGGAAAACACTTTCCAACTCATCCTCTTTAATCAAACAAGTCAAACACCTGAAAAAAAAGAACAAAAAGCAACTACAATTGATAGCTGACACTATGCAAATCCTGAAAAAAGGGAAAACAATAAGCTAATAACACTATATATACAAAATATCACCCCACCCAAAAAAAATCAAACTCTTTTTCTGAAAAGTTTGCACTATTCTTGAGCAGAGAGTCAATCAGAAACAAGCTCTCTACTTTTTTGGGGCAGGAATAAGGTCTGCGTACACACTGTATACCCTCCCCGACCCTACTTATAGAATTTTACTGGGTTGTTGTTGTAGTAATAGCTTGCACTATCGACAAGAGGGGTTGCTCCGATGGTCAGCACCTCTCACCTACAATCTTAGGTTGTGGGCTCGAGTCAACAAAGGAGCAATAACTCCGACAAAAGGGGATCAAAAGGGGAATCAAAGGCGAGGAGAAAAAAGAGTTTGCACTATCAAAGATGGATGGAGTTTATTGATTATGAGTTTAGCTTAATTAAGTATATTCAATACGAAACATAGTTATACATAAAAAAAAAGTTATTAAAATTTCAAAAAAAAAATTAAATAGTAAATCCAAATATTTTTAAAATATAATGAGTTTAATCCATCAAAATTAAATTTCGGATACGTTTCTAGTTGGGACGGAACTAGCATGAAAAGTTGGAGTCGACAGAACGAATAACTTTATTCCAAAGCCTATATATTTGTTGAAAATTTCACTAAATACTATATATTCAGAATCCGTAAACTTCAAATTTAGAACTTATAAACGTCAGATCTTGAATCTGCCTCTAATCTGTGTTTGTTTGTGTAGAAATAAAACAAAGACAGCTCTTTTTGGTAGGATGCTAACATTGAGTTGTGAGTATAGTCTTGATAAGGTTGAAAAACAGCCAGCAGATTTAGGTCTTAAACTCTATCGGTTTAATATCTGAGTTGTTTTAGCATTAAACCCATTATATTTTTAAACTATAGGTTCATAGTTACTATTTGTTGCAATACTAATGATTTTACACCTAAATTATGATATGCATAAAAAATATCACGTTGATAAATTAACTGCTATTTTTGGAAACAGACCACGTTGAAAATATTAAAAAAAGTGCAACCCGATACACTAAGCTCCCGCTATGCGCGGCGTCCGAAAAAGGGCTGGATCACAAAGGTCTATCTTACCTTATATTTCTACAAGAGACTATTTTTACGGTTCGAAATCACGCAAAAAATATTAGCAATGCATATTTCTGAACCATTTATGTAAACGACAAGCTGCTGGACGGCAACAGCGACCCTGTCGTGTTCAACCTTCTCACGTTCTTTAAATTATGGATAGAGCGGAGAGGAGAAGGAGAAATGGGGAAGAGGTGCATCGAATCTTTACTAATACGATAAAGGTTTATCACATAATTAACCAATTGAGCTACTAAATTTTTTTGATATATATAGTTTAATTTGACATGAAATTTGAAAGAAAAAGAAATTGTTATAAAATATAATCTTAAACATATTATAGTATTTAAAAAATAAGATACCGAATACATGCGGCATTCAGGTGCTAAAGCAAAAGCAGTGGCAGAATTACATATCTCTAAGGGGCATTACTATCCTAGTTTACTTGATGGTTCACATAGCTCTAGCACAAGTAGTGGCAGAGCTATATAGCTCCAAGGGATGCCAATTGACACCCCTCATACGGAAAATTATACTGTTTAGATAGGTAAAAAGATTATATATATATACACATATTATGCGTGTTAAATGCCTTTAATTTTTTTGTATATTTATTTCTTTAAATTTTGACTTTCTTTAGTAAAAATTTTGGCTCCGTCACTGAGTAAGGTAACACTACTCTATTGATCTTTTTTTTTGGTTTCCCACTGAAGAGCGCAAAACCGGTGTACAAAACGTAGGCTCGCTAGTCAAAGATAGTATAGTATTAAATCATCTCCACATGGATTGATTTCAATAGTGTTCTATTAATTCTTCAGCTTAACACTATCCAGGATAATAAACCTTTTAATTTATGTTATTATTTACTACAAATAAACTAAGATTATCAACTGTAAGAAACTAATGATACTCGAATTATTAGTAATAACAATGTAATATCAATGCGAGAGGTAAGGGCGATGACAAGATATGTAATCAACTATTGTTCTGGATACTCTCTGCTAAATTCACTCTTAACTTCTATTGATTCTTTCGATTTCAACAGATGATCAGGCTAATTCAAGGATTCTAATTCTTCTTCCGAATAAATTTGATTCCTTTAGCTAACCTAATATCAGGTCCTATGAATATATACTCTAAAATAGTGAATGAATGATCTTTCGAAGAACACCTCTCGATTATTCTCCTGAACTGGTAAATCGATAACTCCTTAAGCTCTTTCGATTACCTAGAAGAGGCGTAAAATCAACCCAATTAAGATGATACAAAGCGAATAGCAGTAGCCTTCCTTTTCGATTAATTTAAAACTACAATAAACCTTGCAATTCAATTAATAACTCATTCAGTAAAGTCGAGCAATTAACATAGAGTAAAAACCCAAAACAATAGTCAATTCATAATATCCGTCAACAACCCTGAGGAGAATTACTCCATAACGAAGAAAATATTCAAAGCAAGAGTATTAGAAGAACAAGAAGACATTACAATTCCCAAATTCAACCAAACTTTCATATTGAGTGAATTCATTCAAGTATCTCGCTTTCACGTTGCTTACGTGCTTCTTCTCCCTCAAAAGTTGCTCTCAAAATCTATGATATTCTCTTTTTAGACGAGCTGGGCTTCATATAGGTCAAGGGAAGTCGCCTTCGAAAGTACAAATTTAGCCTTGAGAATTTTTTTCGGATAGATGTGCGCGGCCTCGCACTTGGGCAGGTGACTGCGCATATGGCCGCACACTTTGGCCAGTTTCTGCTTGTCATGCGCGCCCAGTGCATGGTTAGTGCGTGACCGCGCACCTGGGCAACTTTCTGCTCTTTTCTTCATTCTTCTTTTTAAGTGTGCGAACATCATTTGATCCTCAGAACAAAATCCCAAATTATTCCATATGCT